CAAACAACCACAGCAGCTACAACTGCTACCACACCAGCTACAACATCAACAACATCAGCTCCAACAACTACTACAGCATCTCAAACCACTACTGCAGCTACAACTGCTACCACACCAGCTACATCATCGACAACATCAGCTGTAAACACCACCACAGCAGCTGCAACTACTACAACATCAGCTCCAACAACCACTACTACACCAGTTATAACAGCTACCACAGCAGCACCAAAAACTTCTACAGCAGCTCAAACCACCACAGCAGCTTCAGCTACTACCACACCTGCTACAACAACTACTACAGCATCTACAACAATGACTACACCAGCTACAACATCGACAAAAGCTAGTCCAACAACCACCACAGCACTTTCCACAACAATATCATCAGCTCCTACAACTACTAGATCAGCTCAAACAACGACCACAGCAGATGCTTCTGCAACAACTAACCCTAACCCTGCACCCACAAATACAACTGCTCCAACAACCACCAGAACAGCTGCAACAACAACATCTGCTCAAACAATCACCACTGCAGCTCCAATAATAATCTCATCTGCAACTATTGCAACTGCTACAGCAACCACGACAACAAGTCCAGCTCTTACCACAATTGCTCCGATAACTATCACAGCAGCTTCAACAACTTCCACTCTCAGTTCAATAAGTACAACAACAGCAACAACAACCACATCTGGGGCCACAACCACCAGATCTCTGGCAACTAGATTTGTTGTTTTCAGATCCATTCAGAGCACTTTTACAAAGGACTTGTTGGATTCATCATCTGAAGCTTTTAAGAATCGCTCTTCATTAATAAAGACACAGGTAAGTCTTTCCCTTTCTCAAAAATCCTGGTGAATAGCAATTTTAAAAAAGTTGATGCAGAATGTGAAGGGTTTTTTTTTTTGGGGGGGGGGGGGGGGGGGTTATGTGGAGTTCTAAGCATTTATTACTGAATTAAGAGGTAAAGATGTGCGCATTGATTTTGGAAATTAGAAAGAACGCAGTGTTTAAGGATCATAACCAGTCAAGTGGGGAGCCTAGCAAAGCTCTAAAAGTAACAGTACCTTTTTTAAATCAAGTTTTATTCATCCGGTAATGTTCAGCTCATTGATTTATTGAACTGCAGTCTGTTTTACTGCTGGCAGAGCTCTTGAAGTCAGTATTATTGATGGATTTTTATTCTTCTCTAAAAGCAGAAAAGCTATTAAGATGTTGGTTCTCACTGAATCTACCTTCATATTTGAACAAACATTCTCAGCTATGTAGTTAAAGAAATCCAGATAAAGATTCTCTTTTTTCACTCTCCTGTCAACTGTCTTTCACATTTCCACCTGAGGCACTCAACCTAACTTTACAGCACTTATTCAAGACAAGACACACTACATTTCTCTCACTAGAAGATGGATAAAACACTTAAAAACCCAATGAAGTTATAAAACTACTTAAAAAATTTTTTTCCAACAAAATATTTTGTTTACAATGTTTATTTGGAAAGGGCAGCACAATGGCATGGTAGTTATCACTGCTGCCTCACAGCAGGACAGTCTTGGGTTTGAATCTATATTCTCATGTGGCTCCTTGTGAAATATGAATTTCCTATCTCTGCTCTAAGGAAACATGTTAAACTATTGGGCAACAGGTAGAGTGTAAAATTAATATAGCAAGCCAATCTTTAGACTAAGCCACCATAGCTACTCACTGTAGGGATCGGTTGCTCATTAGTCTCCTGTCATATTTTACTGTAAAATTTAAATAGAAACATAGTTTTAATGTGTGTAACAAAATAAAATGAAATAAAATCTCCTTTGTGTCTGCAGCTAGAACCTGTTTACAAAAGAGCATTCGGTTCATCATTTGTTGCCTTGGATGTTGTGAGCTTCAGGTAATTTCAGTATTACCTACCAATTTCAGTATTTTGACATATAACATTAAGAGCCCTAAATATTCCAAACTATAATTTTTGTCTCTGCATTTACAGTCAAGGATCAGTCATAAACAACATGGAACTTCGGTTTGTAAATTCATCTGTACCAAACAACACCGAGATTAGAAATGTTTTGAACAGTACAGCCTTAAATGTTACAGACTTTGACATTGAATTGGCCTCCATCAATGTCAGTGACACAAGTAAGTAACATTTCATGATGTTTAATCAAAAAGTCTCAAATATTTTAGAGTGACTTGGTTAAAAATGTTTTGTACATTTTTTCTACCACAGCTGCTGCATCAACTACTACAACTGTTGTACCAACAACTACACCTAGTGCAACAACTACTACATCTACTGCAACTACAGCTTCAAGTGGAGTATGCCACAAGATTAATTCCAGCACTGTTTTCCCCCTGGTGCTGCTATTATGGGTTCTATCAAGCCAGCAATAGCATCTGTGCTATTCCATATGAATGGCTTGCAGAAGATGATCTCTTTCACTGCAACTCTTTATTTATTATTATTTAATTGAGAAAGAATACATTTGGTATGTTTGTCAATATGAAAATATTTCTGGGTGGGAATGACCCTGAAATGAACAAAATGACACAGACTTATTTTATGCACCCCATTAATTGAATCATAAATAGAAAATCTGACTCGAGGATACAGGGACAAAATATATGGTTTCTTCTGTATCCTAGAGGCTTGGCAGTTTATGCTGTTCAGTTCAGTTTTATTTATATGGCACTAAACCACACTAACAGTCATCTCAAGAACCTACATGTCTGTTAACTGTTATTCTTTCATTTAGAAAAAAGACTAAACATGAAAAGATATATAGAAACAACAGGTCTTTTTTATAATTTCCAAATGCTTGTAAATTATATGTTTTAAGTTCACACACATATATATATATATACACATAAATTTTATATCAAAAAGCTGAGTTTTCTTATGAGACCACAGTGCATGGCGGATGAGTGAGTGAAGTGTGAAAGATGTGACTGACACAGGCTGCTCCACACAGCAACAGAGAAGGCTCGGCTGAGCGTAAAAAAAAGGCTGAACTGCATCACTATTTTTGTGGAATAGATTTTTTTATACCATAACTGGGTTCCGGAGGCAGTTTATAACTTTCGCAGAGATCGGGAGATTATTTCATTACGCTGCATTATTGACGCCTGCATTCGGGTGCTCTCATGTTCGCTCTGCTTACGTATCTGTTAGCTCGGTAATTTAGACAATAGGATGTTGACAGTAGAAAGTAGATCTACTGGCACTTTTCTTTATATAGTTGTATGATTATAATAAGATTTATATTCTGTGACATGTCTTTCAATTGTTACATTTTCTGTAAGAAAGTTACAATAACCACAATACATAATCTATGAGAAATTTACACTGTCTCCTGTGATGTTTTTCAATTTAGGTGGGTAAAGAGAAATGGATTCAAGGAACTTTGAGAACCGGAGCGTTCATGAATGCTAAAGCAATTTTGAACAAACTGTATTTTGTATTTTTCTGGGCGAAAGCACCATGCCACTCCTGTGTTTTAAATGCACTTTAGAACAGCACGCAACAACACCACATATGGCGGACGGGGAGAGGTATTGGGCCTTCACACCTCCTCTGGGAGGAGGAGTCGGCCGTCTGGTCGGGATCCCTCTTCTCTATTTTTCTTTCCCTCTCCTTCTGTTAACTCTCTTCCCAACTTCTCTTTTCTTCTTATTTCGCTTTCTCGCCCCCAAGCCCACTTCTGATTATAATAACTTAAAATGAAAAATAAACAATAAAGATCAAATAAACTATGACAGTCAAGTGGACCAGTATAGCAAAAGTTCCACTTTGGAAAGTAAATCTGTTGGGCATTTTTCTTGGCCTTCAGACAATAATCCATTTTACTACAGTACCAAAAAAAAGGAGAAAAAAAAAGAAATGGGGCATAACAGCACTGCGCTGTGCGCTCAAATGGCCAGATGGTCTGTCATGCTGAGATACAAAAGACCAGGCACACAGGCAGCGTTATGGAAGAGTGCATGTTTGAGTTATAGTGTTTTAGCTTGGTAGTGTTGTTGCTAACCGATGGACTCGCGTGCAGACGAAGTTCTGGCCAGCAAAAGGTGACAGTTTATTTACAAAACGTGAAACCACTGTGCTATAAATATATACAGAGAGTGGGGCTGGGGTCCAGGGGTAAGAGGGGAGGGAATCCACACACACGCTCGCCTCTTCAGCACAATCACCGCTGCTCCTCTTCTGGTCACACTCGCTCCTCTTCAGCGACTTTCAACCTAATTTCCATTCATGCTGCCACACTCAGAGATCACAGGGAAGGGTCCACCACCAGTTCCGGGGAAATCTATACACAGAGAGCATGATCAGATCCAACAGGCTAAATACACAGAGGAAGTTTTCTAGTAGAGAGCTCAGAGCACGAACACGGGGGGTTCAACGTTCCAGCAATGACTGCTCTGTGCCACACCGTTAAATAGTCATAGGGAACTCCGGCAGGTCAGCAACAGGTGGTGGCAATCACCACAGGTGTGTGGGCATAGAGTGAGAGCCCACAATGAGCTTCGCCCAGGCAAGCAGGAGGGAGTGAGAGAGAGATCAAAAAACAAAACAAAATCTTTGGCCATCATGAGCCAGCTGAAGAGGCACGGGGACCATGACAGGTAGCTTTTCAGTTCCATGCTGCTCGGCTCAGCCCTGACCATCTGACCTGTGCTACTCCTCTTTGTTGATTTAGCCAATTCACCATGCTCCATGGGGACTCTGCCTGCTCACTTGTTTACTTATATTAAAGAAATTATGGTGAAGACAGCTCTTGAAAATGCTGTTATTGACAATTAATATTTTCTGACACATGATGAGGACCCAGAACCAAGAATTTTAGGTGTAGATGTAATAGATCTCCAGGGGCCTTGTGAGTCTACTCAGTGCTGTGAGATGTTCTGGGAATGACTGGACATTTTGATGCAACTAAAATCTGTCAATGCTGTAAAAACAAGAGACACTGAACAAGAGAAGATAATAACAATAATTAGGCTTCCCTTAGTAAATGAGAGTTAATTCTGCGTGACTACTGAAAGAGATAAAACACCCCACAACACAGTATAATGAAGCTTCCCTGCATATCTGTAGATTTCCCTGCGTATGGGAAGTCAATTGTACTACTGTCAACAATATATAGTCACCTACTTGTATTAATGAGATGCACGCACCTTTTGTTTCATATGAGTTTTGTATCTTTGGATGGAAAGGAAAAGATACATGCTAAAAAATTGTCAAGATATTGGAGCTAGTAAGAGCTTTCCTAGCCCATACTGCGACAAGAAGTAAATCCTCAGTGCCTGGCATTGGTTTGTTGCTCTATGGATTCACAGTTTCCATTTTTATTCCTATCTGATACGCTATTTTGACCAAATTACTTATTCACCCATGAAAATGATTGATTTCAGGTGTTCCAGTCACTTCCATGGCCACATGTATATAAAATCAAGCACCTAGGTAATCAGACTGCTTCTCCAAATATTTGTGAAAGAACAGGTCGCTCATTCCAGTGTGGTCCTGCTTGTTGCTTCTAACATAATAGCAACTAGGAACGACAGCAATTCTGCCACAAAGTGGTAGGCCTTGTCTGAGATTTTCAGTAGATGTACCTATTGTATCAGTTTGAAAATCCTATGTGACTTCTTTCTGGAGTTATTGCATTCACAAGATTATCAGAAAACCTGACATCTGACCTTGACTTTGAGGTCGAGGTCACTGAGATTTGAATTTATTCAAAATTTTTAGTAGATGCACCTATGATACCAATTTCAAAATCCGATGTTGCCTTGTTCTTGAGACTGTTCCTCTTTTGAATACGAAAAAAGACGAAAAATAAACAGACACATTTGTTGTTTAAAATTTTTAGGAAAATTATCCACAACTCTTCATTATTTCTAAATTCCTGTATAAATTGGGTTTCACTTCACATAGTTTATACTTAGTATATATATCTCAATTTATATGTAATAGTGTAAAGAATTGATCTACAGGTTTCCTATAACCAGCACTGTCACTTCTCTAATTTATACAAAGTTTTATAATTATCTATATCTGTATCCTAAGAGATTTCTTTTAATTTCTGTAAGATAAGTTACAATCATAAGAAAACAAAATGTATGCAAAATTTACAATGTCTCCTGTGATTTTTACAGTTGAGGTGGGTAAAGAGAAAGGGGGTCAGGGAACTTTGAGGTCAGGAGCTGTAACAAAAGGCAAAAGCAATATTGGTCTCTGTTGTGTCAAGGTCATGTTTTATTGTTTTGGTTATTTAGGTTTGTGGTGTAGTCAGACTCGAGCGTCAAGGAAGGTGGTAGGGAAGCAGACTACGCAGACATGTCGGGTTTCCAGAGGTGAGCAATTTATTTACAATGAACTCTATTTAATGTGCAAATTCCCCCTAAAGTAACTCAATTAACAAAACTCAACAGTACATGGATCTGGTAACACAGCTCACCTCTCTCTCTCATCTGAATCTGGAAGAGACTGGCTTTAAATAGGGCCATCAATTTCCCTTCAATTAGCCCAGCCAGTACCACTCACTTGAACGGAGAGATCTATCACTCTACACTGATGATTAAAGAAGACACAAAACCTCCTCACACTTCTAATTGGTACATTTATGCAACTAAACGGCTCTATTTACGAAAAAAAAAAAAAAAGATTCAACAAACCCCTTCAGACCTTGAAAAAAACAAAAGGAAGGTTAGACCTGTTGATGTCATGTGTGACATCATCAAGCATTGAAGCTTGCATTAAAAAACGGTTCATTACTTGAAGCTTTTCAACACAGTCCTCTCTGGTGACATCTGGAGGCCAAAAATATGAAGAGCAGCTTGAATCTACAAAATAAAATGAACTGCTCCATTATGGTTGTCCAGTCTACAGAGTGGAATTCTGTTTGATATTGAGCCACCGTTGTGTTGCTTTGAACATGTATTTTTTTGAGTGAAAAAATTGTTTGTTTGTTTGTTTGTTTAATAAATAATTGTAATCAATAAACTTTCCTTGTTTAAACATGTGCCATGGTGTGGTCTTTCTTTACTTGTGACTTCTTGATGTTGGTAAATACAACAACAGAAAAATAGATATAATATACATGTATTAATGTACAACACATTATGGAGCACGCTTCTGCTGTGAGGTCCTGTCTCCATGTACTTATGCAATCAATCACTGGACAGCTGGACAGGTATGTTTATGTAAGGGGCTACTGGCCCCGCTATGTAGGGGTGAAGAGGCGCACAGGCTGCCCTGAACGACTAAAGGGTGGTAAGATCTGAGTCCGTGACGCCCCCCCGCAGTGCAGTTGACCCTGATACTTACTTCTGTAAGAATGGTTTTAGCTGTCTGGCTGCTACAGGCAGCCCCCCATGCTTATGTTGGCTCTCATATACCTTACGTTGCAAGGTCTCTGGGACAATGAGCTGCCTGATCTCTTCTCCATCACAGGGGTCTCTAACATACCTATACAACACACCTTTATAAAGCCTAAGGCGGTCAAACTGCTGGTGAAGTCGTCTTGTACCCGGTGTTGACATGCAAAGTTCGGCATGGCTCATCCAGTGCCCTTCTCAACCACCCGGTACACGGGCCAGACAACGGGATCGTTTTTCTGTGCCGCTTCCACCTCATCCCAACTTTGCCCACCGAGAGCTTTCCCAGCAGTCACCCGCACCCTGGCCTTCACGTCAGTCTTACCATCCCCATCCACACTAGCAGGCCACAGGCACGCACTCACTTCCTCAGGACCCACTTTAATAAAGTCCTTGTCCGTGTCCTCCTGCTCAGGTTCCTCTTGGTAAGGAATCCTGGAGAGGACGTCTGCGTTCGTGTTTTGCCGCCCGGGCTTGTAACACACCTCAAAGTTGTACTCAGCAAGTTGTGCTACCCACCGCTGCTCAACAGCCCCCAGATTAGCCGTTCCCAAGTAGCGCAGCGGGTTATGATCAGTAACCACAGTGAACTTGGCAAACATCAGGTAGTCCCTGAATTTCTCGGTAACAGCCCATTTAAGCGCAAGAAGTTCCAGTTTAAATGCGCTGTAATACTTGTCGTTCTTTTCTGAGCTCCTTAGCCCACGACTCGCATAGGCTACCACACGCTCGACGCCCCCTTGCTTTTGACTAAGCACAGCCCCAAGTCCATGCAGACTCCCATCCGTGGTCAGTATGAAGGGTAGGCTAAAGTCAGGGTAGGCCAGGATTGGTGGGGACATCAAACAGAGTTTCAACTCATCCAATGCTTCCTGGCACTCGCCAGTCCAAACAAACGTCTGGGCGCCCCTTGTCATATCTTTCGACCCCTTTCCAACCAGGGCATGCAGAGATTTAGCCAACTGAGCAAACCTCGGCACAAACCACCTGTAGTAGCTCATAAACCCAAGC